CACGGCTTCTCTGGGTGGAACGCATCCGAAACGTCCTCATTTCCATTACTCTGGGGCATAAATCAGGCCGAATTTGACCGATGGCATGAGTTATGTTGGCTTTGAGGACCGATGTGGTTTGTGGCTTATTCGAGTTCACCTGCGACGTAAGAAAACCCCACAAGAAAAAGTCTAACGAGGTCAAAGCGGTCGATCTCCACACATGAGATGACCATGTCCTCAAACCGCTCGTGCAGAATATCCAATGTGGCATGAGCTGTGTGGCACATAGCCATAGAATAGTTAACAATCAGCATGGACAGTTGGCCATGCCGCCTTTGATGTGGAAAAGTATCTAGACGCCATTTTGGGAAGTGACGATAAGAGGGCAGGACTCGCGAAATGGTTTTGGACAGATCCACACTCAAACTTTTTTAAATCCAAAATGCTCATATAATTTTGATATACCTTACGGAATGGACCCAAATTCAATTGATATAATAATTCTTGTGCAAACATTCTATCTGGTTACATGATTTTTTTCAAAAAATGTCAAAACAGCCGAAATATTTCCAAAATCACCAGTAGGAATACAATGGTACAATCAACTGGAATATGAAGGAGAAATTGTCCAGCAATAAACTTTTTGGTATAAACTTTATGATCTACCTCTCTTAAAATAAATGTGTTTTTGCATATTACTAATTAACCTTTCAGTTGAATTGCTTGTTCTTTATTATAAGAATTGACGTTCTCCTTACATTTTATAATGAACTCTTTTTCAACATAAATGTACGTTTTTTATATATACATGGGTAATTTCTATACAAACATCAACTTACTTTTGTTACTACAATCTTTTTATTCTTTTTTAGTAATACGTTCACAGAACGTTTTTTACCCTCCTGAAATGTCAATATCATGTAGTTGACCCACTTAGGATCCTTCTAGGTTTCCAGGGTAGCTGGTGATTATTATATAAAGAAAACGCTAGAAATACAAAATGTTCATTTTAAAACATTTATTCGCGTCTCCATTATTTTATTCTTCCTTCTCTTTTTGGCAATATTTTTATGAGATTTGAAATTCCTATTTATATATTTTAATGTATAAAATAATCTTACTCTACTATATAACTTCAAAAGGTGAGACATTGGGAAATTTTCACATGGATGGTTATGATTAAATTGTTCAAACAATGATACAAATCCTGCAATGACATTTGTTCCGACAATAAGATTCTCAAAATTGCTTTGGAAGTTTACTTCCGAAGAGGAAATAAAATAAACAAATTCATTTTTGGGAATCCTTAAGTTACCGAATGTGTCAAGAGTTCCATTTTGAAATGCTCTGAAATAACAGTACATAGATTCATTATTTGATTCACAATTTTTTTTGGAACAGCTCACACAAATGTCACAACTATGAATTTTCAGTAATTTATTTATCAAGTATCCGCAAATATATTTCATAACATTTTGCTGGAGCACATCACTGGTTCTATAATACAGCATAAACGTGTCCACCACCTATTAGTTTTTCCATTGTACACAGTTAACATATACGTCCCAACAAGAGAAAAGCCAAGAGCAGAATGCAGAATGAGAAAGTCCCAAAATGACGGACTCATCAACGCGACGGATATGCGCGAACTTCTCCCGCCAAGCGAAGCGAAGTGACATTGCTGATTGTTACATATGCTGTGACTATGTGTTGTGGTTGTGCGATAACCATAACCTTCAAAAGTGATGAAAAATATGTTTAATATAACATAAACCAATGATAACATCTACATCTTGTAATGTGTGGAGCAAAGTATCTTTCCTAATTTCGTGATAATTATGATGAGAATAATCTATTAATGTATTTGTACTGTGAATCTGCAAAAAAGTCATGACTGTTTCTGGAGAAGCTTTTCGAAATACCTTCAAATTTGCTAACAAAGATGTGATTAGATGGTTTCCTGGCCACATGGGAAAAGGCCTGAAACAAATGCAGCAAAAGTTGCGGTCAGTGGACTGCATTATAGAAGTTCACGATGCTAGAATTCCTATATCCGGCCGAAATACAGACTTCAAATACACCATCAGTGGAATAAAACCTCATATATTAGTATTGAATAAAGTTGATTTGATCAATAAATCAATGATTCCTAAAATAGAGGAGACGCTAAAGAATGAATATCAAGACATTGTATTCACAAATTGTAATAATCAGAGATGTCCGGGAGTTAAAAAGCTATTTCCACTAGCCCAGAAACTCATAAACCAATCTGATCGGTACAATCGCTCGAACGAGGAAGATTTTAACATTATGATAATTGGTGTTCCGAATGTTGGAAAGTCTTCGCTCACTAATGCCCTTCGTGTAAAATATTTGGGAAAAGGAAATGCCACATCTGTTGGCTCAAATCCAGGAATAACAAGAAGCGTGTTGCATAGGATTAAGATGTGTGAAAAACCTTTATTCTATATGTTGGACACACCTGGTATCTTAACTCCAAATATAGGTAACATTGAAATTGGTTTGAAGTTGGCTTTATGTGCCACCATTACAGATCACCTTGTGGGCGAAACTATTATGGCAGATTATCTGTTGTATTGGTTGAATAAACATAGTTATTTTGATTATGTTAAGTACTTCAATGCAGATAAGCCGATGGATAATATTTTGGAGCTCCTATCTCACATAAGCAAAATTAATAATAAAACTTTGAAAATACGGAATCATTTGAATGTGTACGTTATCAAACCTGATTTCGATTTGGCTGCTAAAATTATGTTGAAAGCTTTCAGGAATGGGGATTTAGGGAGGGTAGTTCTAGATGAAGACCTTATAGGAGTTTGAATTTGCAAAACAGTAAAACATTGCTCCAATAAATGAACTACTGAAGTATAGAATCACCGATATATTTGTACATATATTAGTTTCAAACACAAAGCAATGGGGAAGAAACCAATGAGCTGTCCGATAAAAAATTATTGTTTTTACTTCGCAACCTTCTTTTAGGCATGTTACTTGACTTTTATAATGTGCTGTATATAGAATGGAATTTTTAAAGCCATTGTAGTTAATAAAGTTGTTTTTGAAAAAGTTTTCAATTTGTTCACTCTGAGATTTTTCTTCAGGCAGTATGTCTTTTTGTCTGAATGTTATTTGGGAAGTAGGCAAGTTATTTCTGCCATTTATGGGTTTTTACAGACGTTACCATCCCAAACGATTCTTTCCATCCAATCATAAATTAGCAGCCTACAATTCAATGTTGCACAGAGCATTCTCACTGCCTTTGTCTGCTAACAATCTAGCTAGGGAAATTGATATAACTACACAGATATGTCACAATAATGGTTTTAACGCATATACTATCCAGAAGTTAGTCAGAAAACAAAGTCGTAAATTCACTTACAGATTAATATACCCTCAGGTTAAACAACCAGAAATCAAGAAATGGGAACTCTAACATATTTTGGAAAAAGAACAGAGATAAATGCGGGCCAGGTTATCTGATTTCGTTTTCAATGCCAAAGATAAGGTGGACAAGTTGGAGAAATCTGGAGTTTATAAGCTTAAGTGTCTAGAGTGTAATAGTGTTTATGTGGGACAATGTGGTCGAAATTTATACAAAAACGATATCCTGAACATGAAAGGTCCTTCAGACTAGGAAAAAATGATTTGACGTTTTCAAACAATTCCTTTGCATGCAACCACAAGTTCCCGAATCTAAACGATACGTAAATTTTGCACTATTCAAGGAAGGGTTACAAACTCAATTATTTAGAATCCTTGTGAATTCGAAAGCATAAACATTGTGGGTGCAACCTGTTGAATGATCTCTACCTCTATTATTACCTTCAGGAGTGCTATATAAGGGATAATGTGTAAACCTTTGTAAGTTTTATGTATAAGTTTGAAAATGTCCTTATAGGACGAAACTGCAGTAATGTTAGTTACAAATAAAATTGGTAAAAAAAAAAGAAAGTTTCAATTCTCATCATTATAATTTCCTACCACGTAGTAACGGCTACATCCATCAATTTACAAATAAATATATTTTGTTGAGCTTGGAGAAAGGTTGATTGATTTCGACATAATTCGATTAGTTGGATCTATTTATTGAAAGAAATTTTTTATCTTTCATTTGAAGCTTCCTAATGGCAGAGGTTTATATTCAATGGGTATCCGATTATATGAATAGGCAATATGGTAAGTGAAATATCTGTGAAATATAGAAGTTTTATGCTGTGGTATTGTTAAATGTGTCCTGAATCTCGAGTTAAGATGGTGTACGTCAGTTCTAAAGGATATTTTTTCGAAAAGAAAGGGTTTTTTGTTTTAAGGAGTTTTTGAAAAAATGTTGCAGAATGAAATGTTCATCTGAATTCCATATTCAACCAACCCACATCCCCGAACAGATGGGAAATGTGTTCTCGTTTCCTCGTATAGTTCAAAACTTCTCTAGATATAATTATATTTTGGAAATATTTCAAAAATCACTGTCCGAAAATATATCAATATATCCATCACGAGTTGCATCCATAAAAGTTGCAGAATTGGCACAATATCTAACTAATAGATACTTGATTATGATTTAAATAAATACAGTTGGAATATTCTGAAATGGAGACTGAAATATATTGGCTTTATTTTGTCCTTTTTTGTTTCACATTTTCTTGTATATTTTTATTTTTCTCAAGTGAAAAATCATGATCTCAATTCACAGAAAGTTGCATTACCGTTATTAACATGTTTACTACTTTAAGTTTTCTGATATCTTGTGAAAAATTCAACTTTTCTTTTTATTTATCCTGTTTATCACTTGAAGTACTTCTATTAGATAAACTCATATTGTTATTAAAATTTTAGTGAACAATAAAGAAAAAGGAAATAAAGAACTCACTCTAAGAGAGTGAAAACCCATAAATGTCAGAAATATATAGTAATTGTTACCGACTCTTCAATCATATTTTAATTTTGTTTGACTGCAGATATAAACCCTAGCTATGACTATGCTGGTAGTACAGACTAGCTTTTTGTCGCAAATAGGATACTTTGCGTTTTCATGTTTTAAATATCCAAAATATCTATATGAATACTGTCTGAATTAGCACCTGCTTCTTAAAGTTACCTCCTACCAAATATTACCAAACAATGAATTCCATATTTTGCAGAATCGTTTGGAATATGGTAATCTTCCAGCAAGAGTTATTCAAATTAGCATCTTTTAAATTGATGAATTACTTAAAATTATCGTAGTATATCTTTTTATGATTATCTAGTGTCTTCACTTACATAGAAAATATATTTTCTACAATTACTACTATGTAATCTATGTAGATATGTAAATTGGGATGTTTGTATGAATAAGGATTTGTTATTGTCATAACTAAGACATGTGATAGAAATTAAGGAGCTAAAAAAGTCTTGATATCCACCAACAGGTAACAAGATGCTCAAAAGTGAAAACTTGATATTTTCCATTTTTTTCAAATTTTTCTATAAATATCAATTTTGTGAAAGAACTAAATTAAAAATCAAAACTTTTCAGTCACAGAGAAATCGCAATTAACTTTTTGATAGAGATATCAATTTGTTCCTAGGATATATTTTCAATTTAGGAATTTCCTTCAAATTCAGTAGGTTTCTGTCTGTAGATCTATCCTTCGAAATGAAAAAGTGTGATTATGGAAGTTGCTGCATTATTGTCATATAATAATATATTGTGAAACGGTATTTACCTTAACCAATAGGTATATTATTCACTATGAATTGTCATATAGAGATATTAATTTTTTGACCCAAATTAATGAAGTTCTGATAGGTTCTATATTTTTTCAATATGATCTGAATATTCTTTAATTTATTTTAGAACTCCATATTATTATCTCATAATATTATACAGTATATTTTACATATATTCAAAGTATTCTAATTCTGTGTAATCAAAATTTAAAAATCACGGAAAACTAAATAGTTTGGGGAATACAGTAACATTTATTTTTCACTTCATAATAAACAGTTGCATTACCAATATGAACAATAAAAAATCTAAAACATTTCAAAGGCAAACAATATCCGCGTAAATATCAAAGATATATTGTTTCTGAAAACAAATTGGAAAATCTTGTTTTTCATAATGTTGAAATCGTTTTTTATCGATATTAAATTATCTTCAATTCGAAACTCAATTTGTATCGAAAATTGAAGAAAGAATTTGAAAAATCTATCAAAAACAACAAAACCAAAAAACAACGTATACTACTCCATTTTTCAAGCGATATAAATATAATTGGAAGAATCGTCTTTATCTCTCTCCATATATTCCCTTTCTATCAGTAACTCTATCCGTTTCTTCAGATCGTATGGTTTCACAGGTATGTCAAGAACATTAAACAATTCTGAAATAAGCTCATTGTGACTAATCCTCTTTTTATTCTTGAGGATCCGAACAATTGCTGCATCAATTTGAAATTGTCTATCAGCCAAAACACTTTTCTCGGTTGCTTTTTGCTCTTCCATACTCTCTTTCAACTGAATTTGATTTATTTTCACTCTGAAGAGCTTGTCACTGAACTTATTATTGACACAAAAAGTATCATCATTCTCTATATTTTTTCCTTTTGATTGCTTCATTAGAACTTTGCTTTTTGAACTGGCTAACGAGATAAGGGTTCGTTTTAGTTCCTCCATATCCATATTTGTGAGATCGACTATTTCAGAAAAGGTTAGTTTCTCTGAATTATTGAAAAGTAGTAACACCATGGCTTGGAACAATGAAACTTGCAGTTCTTTGTTACCACTTTCGAAACCTGCTTTTACTAAACAGTGTCCTAGGTTGGGCTGCCAGACCAACTTTCTTCCACTGTGGTTAATTGAATAAAACTTCTGAAACGTCACCTGATAGTTGACCAACTCTGCAGGGATATTGACGTTGTAGCTGGGATAGTTTGGCCAAAAACTACTTGTTAAAACGTTTATGCACAAGTCTGAAGAGAAAGTGGTTGTATGATTCAAATGTTGTTTGAAAGCAGAATTCATCCCTTCGCTTATATTTATATCCTTAAACATACCTTCGATCTTAGATGTGAAGGCAGTCCCGCATTCAGATTTCAGCTTGCCAATCATGCTATCCTCGGCATCCTGACTAGTGGATTTTCCCAAGAGTAACCTTTTTGCCAAGTCCTTTTTATAAAATGCTTCAAATATGTCTTTTCCTTGAATATATCTAAATATGACCATCACTCTGTCCAACAATACTTCCAACTCTTCTTCTGAAATATCTTTTGTTCTCAACTTTAGGTCAATATATTTTGCTAGGAGTTGTGCAGGTTTATTCTGCTTGCTGTTGATGAATTTTATGAAGGAGTTTCTTATGATGTTATTAAAAAGTGGGTCGCCTTTGAAACTGTTTTCAACAATACTGTCCAATTTGAACTTGAACTGTAAGAGATCTTGTATCATAGTTCTCTCGTTATCTGGTCTATTAACAATCCAAGTTCCATATTGTATAATGTACTCAGTGAAATATTCTGAAAGAGTTTTCAATCCTTGAGGAACTTGCCTGACTAAATTGAACAAAATCTCTAGTTCCCCTTCAATTTTACCCCTGCGCAAGTAGTGAAATGCTTTATCTAGTATACTCACCAGATGATCTTTTATTAAATTCCTATATAAAATTTCCAAAACGGACGTGGAAGAATATTTATTCAGATAGTGTTTAGAACTCTCCTGTTCTTGTTGAATTCTTGCCTGGGTGTGTCTCAAATACGTGCGTATATCTATCATGTCAATGAGAATGTTGCCCTCATCAGCATAAAATATGTTGGACATTTTTAAAAATTCGATTTGAAAAACCTCTTCATATATTTGTAACTCAGTCAGCATTTTCAAAATGGACTGCAACAAATTTGAATCAATTTTGTCACCTTTTCGATGCATCTGGATTGAATGTAGAAGTTCAAATGTCAAACCATTTTTAATTGTTGAATTCAAAATTATAATTGATTTGAATAAATTTGTACTTAGTTGATGAACAGTATTGTACTTGTTACTATATTTAGATCTGTCACAGTTGAGGAATATGTTTTTGATTGTTGAAA